AAAAGGTGGTGAAAGAAGGATCTGTTTACTCAAACACTTTTACCCCCTTCCTTCTCCTTTTCTTTGTAATACAAGTCAATTTATCTCTCTGTATTAAAAAAGAGGAGTGGACTGGTTCAGCAGTAATGGAGCAGTTTCATTTAGCTGTGAATGTCTTGTGAGACAAAAATCTATCATGCTCAGAAAAGAACAGGCTTTACAGCCTGTTCCTTGTGCCACCAGACAAATGCTTCCTCTCTCTCCTCACCCAGCCTCCAAGAATAAATAATAAATGTATGGAGAAACTGTCCAAGAAGCAAAGCAGTGAGCAGAAATGCATCCCAGAGGGGCAATGAAGTAAATAAAGCTATATTCATCTTCCTGGAAATGCCCTGCTACAAGATAATAAAAAAAGGAGGTAGGATCATTTCTTGTCCTCCAGTTTTAACAAGATTCTGAGGAGATCTGTTAAGCTTTCATGATGTTAACAAAACTACCTGAATGCAATAATGCAACTTATTTATGCTTTCTTGGACAAAGGTCTTTTTGGCTGGCACAACAGAGAAGTATTTAGAAAATAGTGGGTGGAGACATTTGGATTTTACTTTGGGATGAATTCCAGGTCTGAGAAACCTGCTTGCTGCTCTCCCATTCCCTGCTCAGTCACATGCAATACAAACTGGCTCTTCTTTATTTCAGAACAGATTATTGAGTTTGCTCCTTCACTGTCCACCAGCTGTTATTACTCCCTCTGGCACTTGTGCCAGCACTTCCTTCAGAGACAACCCCAAATGCACTGAAATTAGTAATATGGCTCACTGGACTAAGAAGGAAATGTCTAGCCAGAGTAAGTGACAACAACTAGTCGGGTCTGCCAGTGATAGATAGATGTTTGCTGGAAGGAACATGCTTCACCTAAAAAGGCTTGGATATGTAAGGGGGCACTGCAAAAATGAGTAGACCTGGAGGAGACCTAAAGGAAAGCAACAGAAAATATAGATAGATTCAAATCTCATTTGATTGATTGTTCATATTTAGACATCCAAGCTAAAAGAACCCAAGTAAATTACAACAACAACGAAGAAGTCAGTTTTAACAACAACAAAAAAGGTAATGGACCAGACCATTCCATGTTTGAGATATTTCATCTTGCTGAGTCAATGATACCCTCAAAAATATGTTTTAGGTCACTAGGTTATGACACTGGAGGGTTTCAAAAGGAAATTGGGTGGGTTCTCGCTCAGACATTTTACGACTGAGTGCACAGCATGGCTTAAGCCATGCAGAAGGCTATGTGAACTGCCGAAGATAGTGGCACTTGGGAAATGTGGGTCTTATTCTCTGATTTCCCTCAGCAAGTGCCTTTCAACCTGCTATTTTTCTCTTTCCTGACATAACTGGAAGCTTTTGAAGTACGTGGGCTTTCTCAGTAGGTTTACCTACTGTCCAGTGTAGTGGGATCCCAAGTCACCACTAGGGTCTTTGCTAGCATGTAAAAGAAGATGACAAAGAGTATTTCAAAGGAAGCTGCTCTGCTGGAAGATTGAAAGCAAGAAAAGAAAACAAGCACTCAAAGGTGTCCCAAAGTAGCACCAGTTTTGAGTCAAAAGGAAAAAACAAAATTAAATAAAGAAACAAAAAACAACAACAAAACCCCAACAAAAAACAATCACAAGATTAAGCCAAGTACTTCTGGCTAGTCTTTTTCATCTCACCGCAAAGCAAAGCAATCTTTACAAAATGATAAAGCCATAAAAGGCTGTGGTTGTTTCTTTTAAATGAACCAGAGCAGAGATGGTCTCCTCTCATACTATCAAAAAGGTCAGAATTAGCCACCCCTAAGACTAGCAGGTTCTTGAAATCTTCAAGTGCTTGTATCTTGATGGATACTAATCCACTCTCCAGAACAAGAAAGGTCAAATGAAGAACACTCCTCCAAATAGTGCAACAACTCTTTGCCATGGCTGATGTGTAATGCGCTCCGACATGGTGTCAACAGCTGCTCCTGAAAACCCAGTGAGTCAGCCTTTCAGAAGAGCTTGTCAGCTCCCACTGTTTGAGTTTTCATACAGATTATATTTACTCCCCAGTGTTAAAAATAGCCTTCCTAAACCTTGAAATCATAAAATGTTTTACTTCCAGAATTGTCCTCTCCCTGAGACGCCCAAGCGTCTCTCTCATGTATTTGAGAGCAAACCTTCCTAGCTCTTCTTTCATCCTCTTTTCCCTTCACACGCTGACAGCCAAACCAAAGGCAGGCCCCAGTATCTGAAGCCACATACAAATAAAGAACTTCTGTCTCCTTTCACAACTTTTACCTTCAAACCACAGTCAGTCCTCCAGCACACTGTGAGGTTAAGTGATCTGCTCAGCAGATAAGAGTACAGAGATGATGGTTGACTTGCCTTTGGTCCTAACCACGTAGGCACGTATCCCCTATTCTAATCACCAACCTCCCTTGCATGCTGTCATTTAAATAAGAAGGCCTATTGGAAATGACAGGTGAAGAAAGCAGTCCAGGCATGAAATGCACCCTAAAGTATATTAATAGAAGGTTGCCAGACAAAACAGCACAAGGCATTTGATCGCATCATCTAGGCTTGTTGTTCATGCTCCTCTGCATCTGGCTGCGTGATTTCTGCCAGATTCTCAGCTGGAGGAGCAGGCTAGGATTTGCCTGCTTCCCCTAAACCGGGCCAGGCTCAGCTGCAATCATGCAGAGCACTGAAAGAAATCCCTTTGAGTTGGGATTCATTCTGAACATGTAAAACCCAGACAAATGACTGCTTCTCCAAAGTGAATCCCATTTCACAGCAAGTAGGTTATTAGTGTGGAACTCCATACAAGTAGCCTGCATTCAAAAGCCCTCTGCATTATTAATAGAAGATGAGCTTTTGACATCAAAGGAGAACCATTATGTATGCTAAATGGTGGCAAAAATTGTACCCGCACTTCAAACCTTTTCAATTCTTTGTCCCTTGTAAATCAATCAAGGTTGACAGATGCTTTAAGGAGAGTAATCTTTTCAATGATACTGTCAATGGATAACATAATGGAACATTGTCTCTGTGCTGTGTGAAGACATGGAGCTAGTCAATTATGGACAACACTTCATGCAGCCGCCAGTTTTCACTTGAAGTGCTGCTGTTGAAGTATTATAATCCCAACAAATGGCCGCAGCAGCACACAATGTAAATGAGACCTCCTGAAGCTTTGGAAAATTAATTAGTAACAACAGTGGTCCATTCCCACACTTTCAAACACCCGCCTGGTAATGTTAACGATGCACTTCCCCCCTTCCCTTTGAGCAGTCAATAGGGCATATTTACATACACTATTTTTAATCTTCAACACTTTTCTTTCCCTTCTTTTAGAAAACATAGGAAGCTCTGGATTCTTTTCCTCTCTTTCCAGCAGCAATATTCACCCCTGATATTTCTAACTAGTCACTAACCTACATGACTGTAGCTGAAAAGAAGGGAACAGAAACTTTCCCACTCAGAGCAGTAATATTCACTCCTCTTGCTTCCCAGACATGGGACACTTCATGGCTGTCTCCTTTTCCAACATCTCTATACCCTCAGCTGTCCTGGTAAGAATGACTTGGCTGGATGGCAGGGGAAAGGCTTCTGGGCTTCAGAGATCATTAGAATGTGGGTTGGAAGCTCAGCAGTCCGAGTATAACACCAAAGTCAAAATGTGGTGCTCTAGACATCAAGATGCATGTCTGATAGCTGGTTTCTACAAAAAGGAGATTGAGAGTCAAAGGGTAGAGACTGCTCTGTATCTTTACCTATTGGTTTCCATTTCCTACATCATCTTCTCAAAGATTTTCCCATTGTCAACTGAGACTTCCACTAAGAGGAATGCAATCTCCCACAGTAACTGAGAGAAATCCCACCATGAAGAAAATGGTCTTTTTCCCAATTATAGCAAATGTTGCTGTGCAGATTCAACTACTTTTTCGTATGATGTTAGATTTTGTTTCTCTAGAGCTAAACACTTGGAATGTTTCTCCACCACCACTGCCATAGGCTACTTGAGATGACTCTGCAGAGGAGGCAGGCACTATGCCCAGCTGGAGAAGACTCATGCTTCTCTCTCTGTATCAGGAGGATGAAGTATTAGCAAGAAGGGGATAACAGAGACTGAGAAAATATATAGTGGGTAGCAAAAGTGGGTAGAAGCATAACAGATGTAAAACCAGGACCTAAAAAGTAGGTTCTTCCACTCCTTTTTGCTTGGTGCAGGAATCCAAAGTGATTTTAAAATGAATTTGTTCCTACCATATGTGCCAAATGTCACTCAGTGCCCTACCTCCTGATCACTGAAAGTTGCCCTAAATCCACCAGCTTCTCCAGAGCAACTGCAACAAGTGCTGGATAAAGATCTTGTCTCTCTATTTGAAGCTCACTCCTAAGATATATATATCCTCTACAACTGCATTTATAGGAGCTTGCCATCTATTTCCAACTCCCAGGGATAACTACACACAAACTTTCTTCTAAGTTACAAGACACATATTGAGCGATTGCAGGTTTTCTTGAAAAATGTTTTTCCATATTAGGATCAAATAATTTTAAGAGCATATATAACCCTTGTCACAACTTGCAACAGAAAATTATCCAACCGTTATCATGAAGTTTATTTTTCTAACCTCTACTTGATATTATATCATTATTTAAAGCACACAAGCCAAAAGTCTGTGAATGTAATGTAATATAAACAGTGAAATACTAAACCTGATGCATTGCATCAAAAAAATCTTCTGATAAAGATTAAATGTACTAATAAATCAGAACCAAAGGTTATAACGTGGAAGACGAAGAACCTGCTTCTAACAATACATGAGATCACATCGTACCTCTTTGGGAGAAAATAAGAGGAAGGATAATGGCAAATCACAACTAAAATTTAAAATAGTCCTATATTCATATTAAAATTAGTACAATTCAATTAAATTAGAAATTTATCATCAAAAATAAACTGGACACACACAAAAATGAATTAAGATAACTTACGTAAGAGAAATCTTCAGCATTCTGACAGAGCAGCCTGGGGAAAACAGCCTGTCGCTGAAATCTTTCCTCGTTTTCAAAGATGTTCCCATACATGAAGCCATTCATCATGGTAGAGTGCGCATGGATGTCAATGTAGAACTCCAGGTTAATCTTCTATTAAGGGGGAAAAAAGCAGATAAAAAATAAAACACCAACAAACCACGAGATAAATCATAACTGTGGTATGTAGGTTATGCCTTCTGGAAATCTACTACTGCCATCCACAGATATACCCATGTTGCCAATGCCGGGTAGCCATGATAAAGACACTCTATTATTGCATCCAGCCATCACACCTTCTTACAGAACCTTGACAGACATTTCTCTATCTGTCCTGAGCAGGCTGAAACATTTATGCAGCACAGGATAACATGCAAAATAAAGCTAAGACATTCTTCTTTGCATTGCCACAGGGTCAGTGCCATTGATAAAAATATGTACCTTCCAGTTCCAGAGCAAGATTGTTAAGGCATTACTGCATGGCTCTGTGTTACAGTACACAAATCTATCCTTTCTGGCAGTTCAAAACTGTGTAAGTAAGAATTCCTTCAAGATTTCCCATGTAGTTTATTTCTGTTTATAAAGACAAATACCACAAATTTCTAATCCCACTTTACACATGGAAATTTGTTTTACTCTGCTTTGTAGCATCCAACAGGAAAAAAATATCATAATAAAGTGCTGTGAACGCCTCTGCTTGTAGCAACCCTTGCCAGTAAAATGCAATGTGCAGCTCTCCAGACACATCTGGTCTGCACACAAAAGTTGCTCAGGCTACTGGAGAGTACTGAGCTACATATCACTTGAATGTATTACAAAAGCAGCTCATGTGACAGCAGTGTCAGCTCTTCTAGAGAGTCTCTAATGAGGGGAGAACATCATTTGGTATGTGATACTAATATGATACAGATTTACGTTCCCTTGGCAGAAAACCAATGTACAATACACACTGAATGTTTAGTTTAATTAAACAGCCTAGAGAGAGTAATACTGCATCTTATTAAGCCTCTCCAATGTTAAGATGTTAGCTAAGGCAATATCGATATCTGACCATGCTTCATAGGAAAAGAACATTTAATTGTATTTGACTCTAAAACAATAAATTGTCTGCTAGTGCCAAAACATTTTGCTGTGCTGTAGAGGACCAACAGGGCAATAAAGCATGCATCTGCAATTTGGAGATATAGCACTAAAGAGAAAGATTAGCATCGACAGGATGAAACACCACATATGATTTTCTTCCTCTCCAAACATGCACAAATTAAAAATTAAGACTGAGTAATGTTGTTTTTTTTTTTTTTTTTCCATGAGATAATATCCCCATCAGAAACAGCATTTGTTGAGATCAAATGTACACCTCTCAATCACCATAAAACTGATTGTGTTGTAGACCTCAAACAGTGACTTAGTGTTGAAGGGAGCAGATAATCTAGTTGCAGTGGGTATTTATAAAGCATGAACGTCCTTCACAAAGAAGTCAGTGACCTAAGACATGTTTATTCTAGAACAACTAGAAAGAGTTCTTCATAGGGACGTAGTTAGTAACACAAAATAATTGAGAAGCACAGCAAGATATACCATAGACTAGTATCATTTCTGTCTTAAACAGCACACTTAAAAGCGCTGGCTTAGGTGTTATAATCTGTGCTAAGGTATCATATGATACTTCTTCATCCATAGTTCTCAAAAGAACTTCCAAAAGAAACAAACAAACGCACAGAAGCACCGATCAGTCATACAACTTTCCATGTGGCTATTAATTTTGTGATTCTGCGATTATCTGGCAAAAAACCCACACCTGTAGAGTATGTGTAAGTGGAACCCCAGCTTAGCTTTGATTTGACCAAGTCAACCAACCTTACACAGTATCAATAGACAATTTTCCAAAGTCTCTTAGGATTCTTACTAAGAAGTTACTGGTAAAGGTGTTCAGGGGTATTTTAGGTAGTCTCTTGGCAGTACTGAGGTTTTTTTTAAGATCTTTCTTGATTAGCAAAAACATTTTATGGTGGTTGTTATTTGTGAGCAAACACTGCCACAGAATCATAGAATTGCTCAGGTTGGAAAAGACCTTCAAGATCATGAAGTCCAGTCGCAACCGTACCTGTTCCTGCACAGGCAGCACCTTGACCTAAAGATTGAATTTCCAGATTGCTCATTTGGAAACCATGACATTCAACATAGAACTCATCACTTAGACAGGTGATCAAACATTTATCCATCTTGAGCATTCTCCATTATGGAACAGAATGACTTGGTCCACTGTTAATATATCACGGGTTCCTAAAGGGAAAAATTCTCTTATTCAAAGGCATAGAGATATTCTGGCCTCCATGTGGTTGACAACAGCTTACCACTAGGATATTAACTCGAAGTAACTACGCTTGCAGACATGTTCTGCAGAAGAAATAGGATAATCTGCAGAACAAAAATGAGATGTGGTGAATTTTAAAGGGAAAATGAAGTCAGTAAACGTACATGTCTGTTCAAATGTGCAGACATGAACACACTTAGAACATAATCCAATCTAATCCACTGTTGAAACCCATGGACATTTGACAGTATCCACTCAGCAGAACCCAATCCTGGCTATGGCTTCTAATGCAGTAGCATCTACAAGTGAGAATGGAAATAAAGTTTGATGTGGCTCAAACTCCGATAGTTACATTTGCTTCAGCTTTTAAGCAGAAAATAATGAATAACGAAGCTCAAACATTTCCGGCTGCCATTACTGCCTTCTCAGAGACTACAAGTTACATCCTACAACATTATATTAAACTCATCATTTTCTGCTTTAGAGGTGGAATGCAAAATGATTCAGACGCCTTATAAGAGTCATCTATCAATTTAATTCCCCCAAGTGTCTTTTCTTTGTGCTTACAAGCAGCAGCAGAGAGCTTCTCTCTCATGCTCTCTTTTTTAAGTAAACCTATCATTACCTGGATGACCCGAGCATACAGAGTTGAGAAAACAAATGCAGCTCTGCTATTTCTTTCCTCTGTGTGTCAAAACACTCACTAGATTGACAACGATTGAACCCCACTTCCAAGAAAACAACAGTTAACATCCTCTGCTTTGAAAAAAAATGGTCTTTGCCTCTTCTTGATGCTTACTACATAAAAAGAGAGTAAATGAATAAGCAAACAAATTTCTGCTCCAAAGTTTATTTGAATCCCTGCCTTTATGACACATTCTTTTCACTGTTCTCTTGGGTCAGAATAAAACTTCTGACAGCTTGAGAAATGCACATACAAATTAGGGAGGGGAAAACGAAAGAAACCATGGATAGAGAATGAAAACTCACATTCACTGTTACGATGTGAAACAGTACTGAAACTGTAAACTGGTGTGTGATACCATGTGAAGTGTTTTAAGAAAGTGTTCTCACTTGTCTGAGTATTAATTTCATTAGTCAGATGCCTTTAGGTCAGTAAGGAGCAAAAGGAAAGAGTGATGTTAATAGCCAGTGCCAATATGACCAAAATTGGATTTTTGAACAGTACAATTATGATTCTTAAGGAAATAGAAATAAAAAAAAAATCAATAAAGGCTGTAATAAAAAGATAAATATGCATTGAGCCCAGAACATGGGCCACTAGAGAGGTAAGTGATGCAGGAAAAAGCCAGCTCTGTCCACCAGCTGTCACTCCAATATGGATATTATTAATTTTTGGACATAGCAATTGGTTTAGACACAGTCCCAAAGCCTTCTTTAGTCCAATATATCATACAGGGGATGGGATACACTCCTTGCAGTGTTTTATGCAAGACATTAAAACCATAGCTTGTCGTTAGTGGTAGAGGACATAACAGCCTCCAGGCACACTGTCCAGCCTTACTGCTCAGTCACTGTTTGAAGCAAATAGACATATAGCAGTTGGCACCACATAAGGAGTTTGTCCTTTTTTGGTCAGAAAGGATTCAGAAGTTCTGAGAACACCTACTCTTTGAAGTTTCCTCAGGTTTAGAGTCTCTCAAAAGAAAAATGTGCAAAGATCTCACACATACGTCTTCAGATATGTACCATATAAACCCCATGATAATATTTTGGCAGCTCCTACATGTGATACCAGAAAACTTAAGTACAACAAGCTAATAAGACAAACCAAGGAAAACTGATTATTCAGCATCACATGTTCAGCAGCCGACATTCAGCTAGAAGCCATCAGTCCTTGCCTTCTCAGCTACAGGGCACTCTGCCCAGTGCCCTGATTCACTCTAGGGATGCACAACACCCATCTATCAGTGACTACACAAGAGAACATCAGGCAAATTTTGGGTGGTCTGGATATGATTCGTATTTTCAAACTTCCCCTGAAATATCCAGATTTGGATGAAGTTAATTGTGCTGAAATCACTTTTCTTACTTCTACCTTCTTACACATTTCTCCGTAAACCTGATAAGGCTAGTATAAAGCCTCAAAAAAAAAAAAAAAAAAAAAAGTTGATTCTATAACTTCTGGGGCAAGCGATGCCCACAGTGTCTTCTCCAGTTCTGCAGATGATACATGTAAGCCATGCGTTATTAGAGGTACTATTTCAGAGACATGCCACTACCCCTTTGTAACCACAGAAGCAACCTCACATTTCCCCTTCCATTCATCACCACTGTGCAACACTATGGCAATGGCAGCAATTATTTACATAAGCAATTAATAGTAGAAAAGTGGCTTACTATTTTTAAAAAACTTCTAAACTTCTACATTTAAAAAGTATCTCCTCTTCTTGCTTCTAGTGAATGGGAATATGTCAGTTTAGATACACTCTTATTCTTACTGACATCAAGCACAGAAGTCAATTTCTCCTTATTCTTATAGATATAGACCTTTGCACAATCTGAGAATGTCTTAAGTGTTCCTGAAAAACAGCTTGCAAAATGTGCATCAATGTTTGTGTAATCTACTAGCAGTTCTTCATGATGTTTCATTCATTTCTTTTCAGATTGTTTCAATAATGTTCTGAGAGCTGTTGTTTTACAGAGTGGACTAGTCCAAATCAGCTGTAATTTAGAAGTCATTATTTACCCATCTGATTACACGCCAATTTCTCTATCTGAATGATACTTCTTAATAATAGGCACAATCTGACATGAGTCAAAGAGGATAGAGACTTCT